GAGGGGTGAAACTCATAGTCCCAATGGAATGTGTTGTTTTTCCTGTCCAGATTAACTAACTACCTAACTAACTGTATATGTATATATATATATATATATATATATATATATATATATATTTATTTATTTATTTATTTATTATAATTTTATTGTATAGACAAAATCATTTTGCTCACTACACTGAAACGAAATGCTTTTGTCTATACGATAAAATTATAATAAATAAATAAATAAATATATATATATATATATATATATATATAGTTAGCTAGTTATTAGTTAGTTAGTTAGTTAATCTGGACAGGAAACAACATATTCCCTAGAGACTATGAGTTTCACCCCTCAATGTGATATTCCAGCCAAAACCAAGATATATCTATAAATGTTCTATTTCTTATAATAAGCACCCTTCAACAATAAATATACAAAAATTTTAAATAAGCTACTCACAGAGAAGATCATTTACTAACTGAAAATATGCAATATATAGCATATATAATATATAGAATCCATCATAAAAATTCAGGAGTTGGGTTTAGTAAATGCTAATCACCTTAAATAGCTCTGTGTATCAATCAGTCATAACAAATTTAGTATAAGGAAATTGAACACAGAATAGGCTGTGCTCGAGATAGTTTCTCCCAATACCACAAATTGCTACAAAACCAAAACATAAACCTGTAAACTCAGGTCATGTTCTTAAATAGCCTCATCAGATTGAAACTTTCAAATGAATGGCACCAAACCTTTTTAGAAATATCTAAAATGTCAGCTTTATACAAGCATTTTGCAAAATCAATGGTGAAAAAATACTTTCAGCAAGTGAAGCCTGAATGTCTTGGCTAAGATCATCCCCTTTGAACACTGTGAACTGGTGCTACACAATCACAAAGAACTGTACCAAATAACAGAAACCACATCAATTGAGGACTACTAACAGCAACAACAATTAAAATGAATAGCACATGTTACTCAAAGAGAAAATAATGACATAATTAAGATGTTGATATTTTACACTACCTTAAGTAAAAAAGTTAGGAAGGAAAACCCCATCAATACTGAAAAGAGCAATAACAGCTACTGCACTCAAGAAAACTATTTTCCTAAAAATTGTTTTAAGAGAAAGATTTTATAAATTTCAACCACATGCAGTATTGGCTACTTAGTCAATGAATACCAGATGTTTCCTTATAGGGAAATGGCTAATATTACCATTATCCTATTCTATAATGAGTTGGCAACCATCATGTATGTTTATAACTGTGATAAATAATAACTCAATCTGTCGTATTTTGACACCCAAGAGTGAATTTATTGATCTACTTTGCCTAAAGAATCAATAAATTAATCAATAATATTTGTTATCAACAAAGGTTTTTATCCTGACCATTATCCTTCAGGATATTTACACTGACTTTTTCAAGTTGATTTCATGCCTGCCTCTCATCTTTTTTCCCACTTTAGACTTTCTATTTTATCAATAATCAGCATGATAATAGATTACTCCACCAAAGTGACTATTTTCACTAAGTGGACAAAGTACAATGGTAGTTGTACTGATCATTGATTATAATAATGACAATTGCAGTACTGAGAGACTATTAGTGTTAATTACATAAGTGGCACTATGTGAGGGTTACTCTAGAATGTTGCTCAAGACAGACAATTAACTGCAATGAAAAGAGCAGTATTGTGTATAGCAAATTATAAACTTGATCAACTAAGTCAGAATCTTAATACACTGCCAGATATTAATACTTTGATACAAGTCAATAAAGCAATCATGGTCATATATAAAAGATAGAAGTTGAACGGTAATATTAATCCTTGCATATAATTATCCTTATTTACAAAATAATACTTAATTTCTGTCTCATTTTTGATAGTCATGTGATCAAATTATCAGCTCAGGCTTACAAGATAGTGTTACAAGTAACGAATTTGGTTATATTTGAAATCCCAGCACAATGAAATGCTTCACATTAGTAGCACAGGTTATCCAGATTTATTTTTAAATGTGACTGAAAATGTTGAAAGTTTTTTTTTTTAATCATTTAAACACGAGCAAGACAATAAAGCCACTAAGATGCAACAGGTTATTAAGTGTTAGAGAATATGAGTAAATCATTATTAAAATCCACAAATAATTATCATCACTATTGTCTTAAATGATTGCCTAGGCAATATCAATATAATTAATATCATTAACTCTGCCATCAAATTCAAAAAGTCTAGGCACCACATCAAATGTGAACAATTACCTTGAAAGTATTTATAGAAAAGACACAGAGAGGCAACCTTATGATGGTGGGAAAGTTACTAAAGTCAAGACAGCAGATCAGGACCAATATTAGTGGTGATTCTTCTTTAGATTTTATCAAGGAGTTCAATGAGAGGTAGGATGGGAGGGTTAGAGTTTGAGCAACTCAGGAATGTAGTTCATTTGAACATTTTCCATGGAAATATCGAGTAGTAAGAGAATTATCAGTAATAATTATCTTAATTATAATATGGCTAACATAGTAGTGGTAAAAGGAATACTCAAGTAGAAGGTTATTGAAGGTTGTTATTGTGTAAGCAGTAAGAGTCCAAGATGCAGAGTTTATTAAGATATAGGGGAAAGATAACAGTTAACCCTAGAACAGGTTGTACTGATTACAAAAGCATCCTCTTGGAAGCTGAAAAGTAGCAGTTAGTGGCGAAAAAGCTGTTTGAGTGGAACTTACCTCTTACTAATGGAAGATGAAAGAAATGAGGGTGATTTGCCTCAGGGTGAAGGTTTCTCAGAATCAGAGAACATTTATAGATATCTTGGTTTTGGTTTGAAGGTCACATTGAGATGTGAAATTCACAGTCCCTATGAAATGTTTCTTATGCCTATGACAGTTCAGAGCTGGGACAGTTATAGTTGCAGGAAATAAGGAATGTAGCTCATTTTCCATGGAAATAGCAATAGAATAATGAGAGGCTTGTAACATTTTGCCTGTGGGAAAGGAGTTGTATGGTGGAAAATAATTTGTCACCTATGTAGATGCTTTTGCATTCTATCAAAACTGGAAAGGGAAGACTGGATAGCTCCAGCCCAGATATGGCAGCAGTACTTCATTTTTGACCTGATCTGGAACTTGTAAATTTAGAGCATAGTAGGAAGAATCAAGTACTTAGTGGAATAGTACATCATTTTTTCCAGAATCTTTATCAATGTCTTGTATATACAAGTTCCATCTGGGGTCTGGAGTAAGCTATATATTGACTTTACATGTATCAATATTGATTATCTTAATGTTAATTCTTTAAGGCAGTATTGATGAATAGATAGTATTGATTGTATCATCCATTAACAATAGTTGTGTTAATGATAATATGATTGATAAATATGGTATTGATTATGTTGATGGTATTACTTCTGTTTGAACAAATGGTGATGTTCTCATTGCTATTGGCAATTGTCATCAGTATTGATTATGTGTTAGTAAAACTGCAAATAGTTCTTCAGTAATGATAATATTATTGTTAAGGTTCATTTTAATGATCATAATTCATCGCAAAATTAGACCAAACATAGAACATGAACAATGTGGCTTTGTTCATGACATTGGAACAATAAATTCTATCTTCATGATCAGAATGATATCAGAGTAACCAATACAAACAGTGATCATTACAATACAAATATGATCATTACAATACAGTGATCATTACAATACAAATATGATCATTACAATACAAATATGATCATTACCTATATTTTGCTGATTATACAAAAGCATTTGGCAAACAGCAACACAAAACATATTTGAACTGCCAGGTAAGCTCAACTTACATTGGAAAGATATTTGGATAACCTGCAGCATTTACTGAGAACAAACAGCTTACATATAAATAAGAAATGAGCTAAATAAATACACAAAAGTAAAATGAGGGCTAAAACAAAGATGCATTTTCTCAATTTCATCTACAAGGGTTAACTGAAACTCCACCTGCTACAAACAGGAGTCAACAGAAACTAGGTCCATTACAATCCTATACCACCCCTTTGCTACAAGTCTTTAACTACCTGAATTTCTTAGATGAAGCATTTTTATCATATATTTGATGTGTTTACAGGATCAAATCCTTGTCAAAAATGTTTCCAGAAAATACAGGTGAATTACAATCTCATTGGAGGACATTTCTTCATTTTCATGTTGCTTACTAAACAGTTGGAGAAAATGATCTGAGTATAAATATAAAAAGGAACAAAAATAAGATGAAAGAAAACTAGCCAAAAATAAATGACATTGCTGTCTATAAGAAATTTGGATAACTTAAGACTATTATATCTGCTACTACTAGGTGTAAACAAACAAAATAGAAAATCATTGGAGGACGAATATTTTCTGTGAAAATTTCTCGGACATCAGGCCGATAAATGTTGTTTAATACTGTTTATTATAAACAGAGTATTTACTTAAATATTTGTATCTATAAAAATAATTTTAAACATAAAAATGTCTTAAAATATATATATATATATATATATATATTAATCAATTCACCCCAAGCAAGGTGATAATGTTACTAAGACACAACAGGCTACTAGAAACGAAAGAGAATGAAAAGAATGTGTGTGTGTGTGTGTGTGTGTAATTTAAAATGTGCATATTTAGGCAGCATTTTTTCATTGATACATGTTTCATTAAATAATATAAACAAGTGTTGTCTATTTATTTTATGTAAATTCTTTTCATATCATCTGATAAGCTTAATAACATTATCATTAAATGAAGAAAGAAAATCACAATATTGATACATATTTTTTAATCCTATCTAAGCTTTCGGCTTACATAAGCCATTATCAAAGATGACAATTACATTACAATACATTAAGCAATACATGGACAAGACAGTGATGATAGTCTGTTTCTATTTACATGGAAGATTTCCAAGCAACAACAAACTCATGCATATAAGTTTGTCGTTGCTTGGAAATCTTTTTATTTCCTTCTGTTAGACTGGCTGCCATCCAAGGCTAGAAAGCACCAGTTCCTATACGATCACTGAAGCTAAGCAATATCAAGCCTATTCAGTACCTAGATGAGTGACTGCTTGGGAATTGGAGAGCCAAATTCCTGTTTGGTTTCTTATATTCACTTACATGCAAATACTCTTGAGAAAGAAATGAATCCACCTATTCTCCCCAGCATTGGATTAATTAGTAATACAAGTATTACTAAATCATTATTATATCCACAAAAAAAACAAATTCTTACAAATTTAAAAAGTTTTCTAGCTTTAAATAACCTGCAAATAGTTGCTAAGCTGTAGAAAACGAATCAATTAATCAATAAAAAATCAAACTGTATCATAGCTATGTATCTATTGGAAAAATATCATTTATATATGGTTGTGTATTATTTGTGGTTTCAGACATCTGTTAGATGATATCCCCAGTGGATAAGCTGGGAACTTTTGTATTTACATTGATATGTTCAGTCAACATCAGCTTCTTTTCCGCACAGATCACATTACCTCACTTGACATTGAATCCTTTTCAGTTGCTTATTTTGCATATTCAAGGCTCCATGTTTGATTTGAACATTTTTATGATTGCTCTGCATCTTTCGCTATTTATTTTTTGTTTCTCAACATTATATTTTCAATCGACGTATTTAATCAAAAATTTTATTAATGAAAATCGATTTTTCACTGATGAAATTCTATTGAAATCAATTGATTCTTATCCATTTAACTTTTGCATGGCAACCTTGTAGATGACAATAAAAGAAAATAAGTAAAATAGCAACCATTATTCAATAGGACAATATCTCAAGAGCTCAACATAACTTCAGGTTCTCACTTGGCTTATGCTTATAATTAATTACTGTGACACTCTTCATGTCACTGTTAAGTTTTTTTTGTGTTTGTGTTTGCAATGTGAAATTAAAAAGAAAAGGAAATAAGATTCTAAATAAAAGAAAAGCAGCCAAATTGGATGTTAATTTGTGATTCCAAACTGGCTTTATTTTATCTCCTGCATTTATTGAAACCCTTGACAAAGACTGGATTTGTTCATCTGTCAAAATGGCAAATACGCCCTTAAAAGACATTTGTTAAATTCATTTTTATCATTAATCTTACTGGAGAAGATAAAGAACACTTTGGTGATTGGAAAACATAGAGGCTGCCCTTTTTCACTGAAGCATCTTACTTTTAACTGAGTTCAACCCAGACAAGACACTAAAGTCATAGAAATGCAAGGGGTTACTGGGTGTAGAAGAGTTAGAAACAAGAACATTGCTAAGGAGTGAGAATAGAGGAAGATTAATCATGAGGATAGCAGACAGCAATTGTCATTGCAGTTAAAGTTTTTCAGATTAAAGTTAGCTGGAAAGCATGGAGCTGGAAGAGAGATCAACTTTAAATAAATTATGGTTATGCTTAATTCTTGGAGTGAAAATATCATTATGGTTAAAAATAAAATTATCATCAAAATTTGTGTCTGAATATTTGGAATGAGGAATTATCATTATTCAAACTATTTATATTCAAACTATTGTCTGCATCTTACTTGTTGTTATCACATTTTATTTGTTTTGCTCTCTGGTGCTCCTCAGATGTATATCAATCTGGGTAACCTACAGGGAATTCTGAACTGAACCCTAGTTCATATTTTATTTAGTACTTTACAGTTATTAGCTTGCCCATTTCAATTGAGTGCAAGTACACACTGCCCAACCCAGTGATTGAACTCACAATCATCACCAAAATTCACAAGCCAATGCTTTTATCCACAAGGCCAGGGGTCAGCAACCTTTTGCTAACTATGTGTTGACTTAGGGTTTTAAAATCATTCAGTGAGCCAACAGCATACGTATTTTTATACAAGTCAAGGTCAATATACCTGTTCTACAATATATTTTATATAGTAATATAATAACAATACTTTAGTATATTTCATATAGTAATATAATAATAATAATACTTTAGTATATATTAAAATTGATACAACTAAATATATTCTTTGCATTGTAGTCATTATTAGTTCAGACTTTCGTGATGTCATTTGCACGCTATTAGAAATTGCTTGGCATGCCATGTGTGGCATCCATGCCACAGGTTGCCAATCCCTGCACCAGGCCATTTCCTTTAGGACAATTTGCCTTAAACTTAACCTGCCATCTGATTCAGCTGCAACTGTTGCTGCTGCTGCCTCTCATGTTTTGATTGCTATGATAACAACAAAGATTATATAAATAATGTAAATAATCATCATAATTGTTTTTTGCTTCTATCAGAATCAATATTATTAACACTTTTATACTGAATTTTTAAAAAAATCAGTTGTATTTCTACACAAAAGTTTAAGGAAATTTAACAATACTACACTGGTTGTAGTATGGCTTTTTTTGAGCATTCCCATTTGTGTACCAGTTTGCAAACAGGTAAGAGTCTACCTTGAAAGATATTGTAGAAAATTGGTGTTAGGGTAATAATTATTATCATTGTCAAATCCACTAAACATCTGGGTAGAACAATGTCTCATGAGCTAGCTTGTTTGTTAATGTGTTAAATGCTAAACAATGTTAAATTATCATCCTCTTTTTAAAAATTATGCCTTGTTTTCATTTCATCCTCCACACACTTTCCAATACTGCTATTTAATAACTGAAAATGCTCTATTGTTCTATTCTTGACCAACATACAATTATTATCATGATCAGAAGTCCAGTAATACATAAGAGTCATTGGAGCAAACAACAGTATCTAGAGCAACAGAGTTCAATATTTCCCCTTCCTCTTCAGACTTCAGGCTTCACAGTTGTCTTTCTAGACTTGTGGCACTACCAAGTCTAAACTTCCCAGTCAGCCATATTATTTATGAAGGTTTGAATGCAGTTTTCCTTCTCTCAGATTAGCTTCCACCCAAACAGTAGTTAAGAGCCTACTTTGAAAGATATTTTGAAAACTTCTAGATTGGCTTCCATTCAAGGCAAGAAAGCCCAGTTTACCTGCTATTCAATCCCTAGCTGAAAGAAAATGGATTCATGCCTTTTTCAAGGGCATTTGTGTGAAAAGGAACACAATAGGCTTGATTAGAATTTGAATTAGAATCAGTGTTAGGACTCTCAGTGGATGAGATAGTGCATTGGTATACCACAGATTTTATGCAGCATTTATTTTCCAACAGGCAATCTTCAGGGTTTCTACAATCACTATTTTTCATTATTTTTGTCTAATTTTAGTTTAGGGTTTTTATTAATACTATTTTGGCATGCATGTTTTTCCAGGATTTATTATTGTTTTTTTTTATGATACTTTCCAGATTTTAAGTTACTGTAACTTAATTTTAAGGTGTTTTTATTAAAGACTAGCAGTAGAGCCTGGCATTGCCCGGGGATGTAACAGTAAGAGATAGATCAAGTATCGACCATCATAAAGACTGAAAAATAAAATTGACGAAGATTATCATTTAAGGTTGATGGACACGCATGTCTTAATTAGTTTCTATTTGTTTTGTTTTGTTTTTTTTATGAATTGGTCAAACCCAAACTCAAACAAAAACATTGTTTTCAATCATTATGAGTCTACCGATTGAATAGAATCTTTCAATTTTATTATAAACAATTGTCTTGTAAATGGAATTTTTAAAGCATTCTGAATGTACAAATAAAGAAAAAAGTGTGCAAGACAATAAGAAACACTACCAACCAAAAAAAAGTGAAGTTTTGTTGAAATTGGTTGAAAAATGTAGGAAATCCGATCCCATATATAAATGGACACACACACACACACACACACACACACCTGGGTTTTATAAGTATAACACGATATGAGTTGTCCTCCTTTCATTCTCAAAACAGCGATGCCTCTTAATCGTGTTTTCAAATTGGCACTGTCAGAACCACCGCAAGGTAATTTTACATAGTCCTGTGAAGTTTTGTTGAAATCAGTTGAAAAATCTAGGAAATCTGATCCAATATATAAACGTACTGACACACACAACCTGGGTTTTACAATAAGTATGATTTTGCTAAGTCTGCTATTTGTAGGAAAGTGTTTTTCAATTAAAGCTAGGAATTTATGTCCTAGCTTAATACTAACTATTTGGTTGAACGGAGGGGTATACCAAATGATGTTTTTTTTTCTGTTTTTCTTCTGGTTAGTACAATTGTTTCTATAACTGATGTTAGCATTTTTGTATCCACTGTTTTTTAGGGCTGCATTATAAAAATTACTGAGTTGTTGGAATATTTCTTTATTAGCAGAGTTCATGTTGATTCTTTTCTCTATTGATGAGGGTATATGCTTCATTATGGGTGGTTTGACTTAGAGTGTAGATACAAGGGGTTAGTGTTAGGTTTTCTGTAAGGTAGGTATATGTTGTTCATTGAGTCCAGAGTTACTTGTTTTTGAAACCTGAGAACACTTATGTAGCAAAGGAATCATATTTTTAAAAAATAATTATAATTTAGGCTCTACTTTTGTATCGAGCACTGTTTTTTTAAAAATAAAAACAAAAATACTAAAGAACTTCAGATTATTTACCTAACAAGTTCTTTCCTATTTTTTACATATTTGCATATATATATATATATATATATATACATATTAATATGACATTTCTCAAATTTGGTGGATACACATGTTTGAATAGCCATTTCAAACCTGCATCTCCTTATATAGGGGAAACTTTATTCTTGCCAAAAGGCACATTCTCTTTCATAAAAATGCTTGAACAACCGAGGATAGTAAACAAAAAATATACTGTTGAGAAACCCAGAGTGTATTCCCTAAATCTATTGTATATATTAATAATAAATAACGAACTGTGAACTGTGGATAAAAATACATTATTTCTTTATATATATATATATATATATATATATATATATATATATATATATATATATATATGTGTGTGTGTGTGTGTGTGTGTGTGTGTTATGGTGACCTATCTATATTAGAATGAACTCCTCCTCCTCCTTCATAAATACTAACCTGCGAGACTTCTTAGGCAAGGCCGTCTGGACGCAGGGTAACCTGATAGTTCAGACGGACACTTCTATCTGCTGACTAATAACACTCTTATTTTGTATATATATTCTGTTATTTCA